AATATGATTCTGTCTTTTGGCTTGAGATTGCTGTTTGGCTTGAGATACATATTTTTTTAAAATCCTATTTTATTAAGAGCTTAAAAAAAATCAGGAATCAATGTTGAATTTGCCACCTGTGTTTTCAACATCTATAGAGATAGGGTTTTTTCTCCATTGGCTTATTAAATTAATAGTACTTTTCTAATACATATCTACTCTTGCATCTCTGGGCTTAGGCAGAATAGTCTTGTATGCACCACTAGATTGTATTTACAAAAACTCTGAATAAAAATATTAGCATTAATATTATTGAAAAATGATAGTTGGTCTGATCTGATCTTTTATTTGGAGGATGTTATCTTTGTCATGTTTTGGTATCAATGTTCTGCTGGTTTTGAAATTAGGAATTAGAAAATAATTTCTAAGTTCTTTCTAATGTTCTGGAACAGTTTAAATAGCATTATGGTTATCTGCTTTTGGCAATTTGGTAAAATTCTCCTGTGAAACCAGCTAAGCCTGTGGGTTTTGAGAGGTAGCCATTGGCAACTTTCTCACTTTCTTTCAGGGTCATTGTTCAGATTAAATTAGACATGTTAAGTCTTGAAGTTCCCATCAGTCTAAATAGAAATAAGCTAGACTCTGGCCGGACTGCTTTGTTGAAAGAGCGTGGGGTTTGAGGGCTGACCTGTTTTGAAATAGGAGTCAGCCCTTATTACCTGAGCCTCTCATTAAGCTTAGTGTTTCATCTGTAAAAATGGGGCTAATACCTACCTTGAGGTTTGTTGTGAAGATTAAATAACGTAATTTAAAGGATAGTGCCCAACCTTGTCTATCTCAGTATTGATATTTGATACATGTTAGATTTTTTCATTCCATCCTATTCCATTACTTTGCTTTTATTTGTAGCTTCATTGATCAGATTTGTTCACAGTTCTTCACTTTGAAGTATTTGTCAATGTTTTTGCATTTTAACTTGGTCTCAGAATCTGTACCTTTTCCATCGGTTTATGTGACTTGACTCCACAGACACTTAACTATATGCCTATTAGCCCAGGGCTTCAGACTCTCTCAGGTCTTATATAGTAGAGAGAAAGAAATGACATATTCTGAAAATCTCGTTTACACCTTTTGGTATGTGGGTTTAAGTGCTCTTGTCTAGAGGGTAGGGTGTATAGACACTAGAACCATGTCTGTCCATTTTCGTCTTCAGGTTGTTTTAATATTATTTTCTTTGCATTGTCTTGGGAAATATAAATCTAAAGAGAAAGCTATAGCTTAATCCTTTCCAGTGAAAATTCTGGATACTCAGATAGCAGGAAAATTAATGTTAGGAATTCAGTGAACAGTCCTTATGAAGAGGGGTGAGGATCAATGGCTAGAGAGTGAAGTGTGCTTCATATCTTAGTTGAAATGCTGAAAAAATATTTCTCTATAGAAACATCGTTCAGTTGCATTCATATAAAGGCATTTAAGAACCTACTATGTACCAGGCAGTGCTAGGCAGTAGAAATAAAAAGAAATGAGACATGTGCTTCTAGTTTTAAAATACTTACAGAATAGTTCAGAAGATGTAAACAGACAATGGCAGGATAGTCTGATAAGAAACATGACAAAGTGCTATCGGTTTAGAGAAGGAAAGATCCATTAACTGCTAGGGAAGTTTTCATGTAGGTGACATTTGACCTGTTTGTATCTGTGGAGCATTTTACCAGGCAGAGGGAATGGCATGTGCAAAAGCATGAAGATGTGAACAAGGTGGGGTTCACAGGCGAGGACAAGTTCAGCGAGACCCAAGGATAGCATGCAAAAGAGGCCTTTGGCTGCATAATAGTATAGCACTCAGTAAATATTGTTGGCTGCATGGATGGATAAAAGAATGAATATTATATATACATCAGGCGCTTATATATGACCTCAGGGAATATAACTACTTGGAAAAGTGTATTCCAAATTATAGCTTAAAAATCTTTGAAACACAGTCTTTGGTTGTATTGGCAAAGATTTAATCTGAATCAAATATGAATTTGTCTTAGGGATTTTGTTTCCTTGTTAGTTACACAAAGAACAGTATATTTTCAGCCCTGAAAGTACCAAGTAATGATTCTCAGAAATGAAAAGGAAATGATCGAATCCGACACTTCTTCTATTCACCTAGATGGTGTTAGTGGTTTACCTTTTTTGCCATCTGGTTTGGAAGTTCATTTATTTCAGCCAGGCCAGTGGTCTCAAAGTGGAGGGAGTACACAAGACAATTTATTTTGGGATATAGGAAGAAAATATTAACATTTTTATTTATATTACTTTTAATGCCCGTTGTTTAATTTCTGTTTTTGTGTATACACATATACACACATAAGTGTATATGCACATACACTATATAAATCACACACATGCACTCACACGTATATACATCCTACACACAAATAAAATGAGGTTATGTGCTCCCCTCTCTCCCCTTTCCATTTTTCCTGGCACATGTGATTAGAAAGGTTAGAGATTACTGATTTAAACCATTAGTACAAAATGCTTTCAAGGGATCTTAAAATATTCTAAAATTTGATCTGGGTTTTAAAAATAAGAATACATCTCATTTTATACCAGCTTAAGAGAAGCACTTTAATGAAATAAACATAATAGGTTGTAATTCATGTTTAGTAATGAACATATACTTGTAGGTACTTTAAATAGATTTTTTTTTTTACACAGAAGTAACTTTCAGGGAACAATTCGTAACATGTTTTCTTTTTTTTTTGGAAATTTTATTTTTTATTTTTATTTTTTTAACATCTTTATTGGGGTATAATTGCTTTACAATGGTGTGTTAGTTTCTGCTTTATAACAGAGTGAGTCAGTTATACATATATATATGTTCCCATATCTCTTCCCTCTTTGTCTCCCTCCCTCCCACCCTCCCTATCCCACCCCTCCAGACAGCCACAAAGAACTGAGCCGGTTTTGCCCTAACACACCTCACCCTTCCCCCTCCCCATATCCTCAAGTCTGTTCTCCAGTAGGTCTCTGTCTTTATTCCTGTTTTACCCCTAGGTTCTTCATAACATTTTTTTTTCTTAAATTCCATATATATGTGTTAGCATACGGTATTTGTCCTTCTCTTTCTGACTTACTTCACTCTGTATGACAGACTCTAGATCTATCCACCTCATTACAAATAGCTCAATTTCGTTTCTTTTTATGGCTGAGTAATATTCCATTGTATATATGTGCCACATCTTCTTTATCCATTCATCCGACGACGGGCACTTAGGTTGTTTCCATCTCCGGGCTATTGTAAATAGAGCTGCAATGAACATTTTGGTACATGACTCTTTCTGAATTCTGGTTTCCTCAGGGTATATACCTAGTAGTGGGATTGCTGGGTCATATGGTAGTTCTATTTGTAGTTTTTTAAGGAACCTCCATACTGTTCTCCATAGTGGCTGAACCAATTCACATTCCCACCAGCAGTGCAAGAGTGTTCCCTTTTCTCCACACCCTCTCCAGCATTTATTGTTTCTAGATTTTTTGATGATGGCCATTCTGACTGGTGTGAGATGATATCTCATTGTAGTTTTGATTTGCATTTCTCTAATGATTAATGATGTTGAGCATTCTTTCATGTGTTTGTTGGCAGTCTGTATATCTTCTTTGGAGAAATGTCTATTTAGGTCTTCTGCCCATTTTTGGATTGGGTTGTTTATTTTTTTGTTATTGAGCTGCATGAGCTGCCTGTAAATTTTAGAGATTAATCCTTTGTCAGTTGATTCATTTGCAAATATTTTCTCCCATTCTGAGGGCTGTCTTTTGGTCTTGTTTATGGTTTCCTTTGCTGTGCAAAAGCTTTGAAGTTTCATTAGGTCCCATTTGTTTATTTTTGTTTTTATCTCCATTACTCTAGGAGATGGGTCAAGAAGGATCTTGCTGTGATTTATGTCATAGAGTGTTCTGCCTATGTTTTCCTCTCGTAACATGTTTTCTTAGTGAGATGGTAATGAGTGCCATAAACATCCTTGCTGTATACCCAGTCCCTTACCTAACATTTCCCTCCTAAGTTGGTTAAAAATCAACATTGCAATGGACAATACAAAACTATATACTTAGTATGATCCCAGCTATGTATAAAGTGTAGGTTTGTATAAGTGTGTATGTATGTGCACATATGTATATTTGTGTGTTTGTGTGTGTGTAATACAAAGACTTATTAAAAGAGAAAAAAAATCAGTATTGCAGTAAGGGCATATTGTCAGGAACAGTGCGTTGCCAAATCCTTCCCTGGTGCTGTTGTTTGGCACGAGACTGACATCTAGAGTCGGATGTGGCTTATTTGTTCTGAGGTTTTTTCTGGCTGAACCTTCTGCTTTGGATTTTCTGTATTTTAGTTATTGTATTCTTACTCTATATTCTATTCTGGTCTCACTTTTTGTTGGTAGCATGATGTAAGTTATTTTGCATACCCTGGTAGGAAAATGTGCACTATACCATTGCCCCATTGCAGTACCAGAGGAAATAATTTTTGTGACAAAATAGTTCTCAAGGTGATTTTTTCTAACTCAGATTTTGCCACTCTCCTTCCTCCCTCCATCCTCCTTCCCTGCCAACTTAGTCTAATTGGCCCATCACTTCTACACACCGTAAAGACAGTTCTTCCGTGCAAGACTGAGGCACACGGTGTGGCTTCAAATCTTCAGGGCAACAGTCATCATGTGGTGCACCTCATATGTTGAATGAAACAAATATAGGATATATGCTATAATTGAAAGTTTTTGAAGATGTTTGACTGCTTAGAATTCTCCTAGCGAATTAGGAAAGTATTTTTCAGTTGCATTTTGTTGGGTTTTAGTATTGTGATAATTACTCTTAGTAATAGTTTCCTTATACTCTGGCATTCTTCTTGTAGCCAGTTGACTTTTCCGTTTACTTTAAATTGTGTTTTAAAAAACCCTGATCAGTGTATGTCCATTGATACTTCCATAACTTCTGGAGTTGGATTTTCAGTGACTTAATTGAACATCAGAAGATTTCTATGGTCTTTCATAGTTAGAAAGTGCTCTTCTATTTTCATAAGTGTTGTCTTTCTCCTGCTGCAATAGTAAATAATAAGCCATATTTTAAGTTATGTAACCAATAACGCCACACTACAAGCAACATATAAACTACAGTGCCATCTTGCATTCTGGGCCCTAAATACCCTTCCAGTAACCTTAAAGGTCCAGTTACCATTTCCCCTTTATTTGGAGTAAGATATGGGAACTGAAGAATAATTTTCTTGTTCAGATGCCATTGTCAAAGCCCTGGCTTAGAGCTTTAAAATTCCTACTTCCAGGCCTGTCTTCAGGCCATTTAACTTGGTCTCTTTGCTGAAAAAGATGCCCCAGCATCAATAAGAAAAGAGTATTAACAGGCATTTATAATTATTCAGAGTGACATCTTAGGTAATTAGGCCACTTCTTTATGTATTTGTATATACATTGAAGGATGAAGTGACTACGTAGATGATATTCTTCCCTGGATGAAAATCCTTTTCAGAAATCGGATTTTAAAAAACACACCTTGGGGCTTCCCTGGTGGCACAGTGGTCAAGAATCCGCCTGCCAATGCAGTGGACACGGGTTCGAGCCTTGGTCTGGGGAGATCCCACATGTCGCGGAGCAACTAAGCCTGTGCGCCGTAACTACTGAGCCTGCACTCTAGAGCCCACGAACCACAAATACTGAGCCTGCGTGCCGCAACTACTAAAGCCTGTGTGCCTAGAGCCCGTGCTCTGCAACAAGGGAAGCCACCCAATGAGAAGCCCGTGCATCGCCACGAAGAGTAGCCCCCGCTCGCGGCAGCTAGAGAAAGCCCACGCGCAGCAACAAAGACCCCACGCAGCCAAAAATAAATAAATAAATAAATAAATTAAAAACAAAACAAAGCAAAAAAACCCCCACACCTCATATCAGAATTCTGTTTCATTTGACCTCATGGCTGCTGTTTAAGAAGAAAATATCTTTCCTAGTATATAAGTTCATTATTTTGTATACATTTTAATTTAAATCTGAGCAGTTTGATCATGCATCATGGAAACCATCTGCTCTGCTGGCTCTAAAAAAATGTCTTGTTTGAAAAACCTGTTTATATAGGACTTTAAAGAAACACTATCAGAATGTATTGTAGTCAATATAGATGTATTCTTCTTATGACTACAACCCCAAAGACTGAAAAAAAACCCCTCATTTCTTATTTTTATTAGCTGTATCTTTTTTAATGTGAACAAATAAGTTTTCTATATAATTTGATCCACAAATGTTTGCAACATCTACTTAATGCTTACTACTGCATGCAAGATACAGTACAAAGTAGCTTTCAACCCACAAAAGCATCCTTGTCTGTACTGAAAACATTGCCTGTATCCAATGTGTTTCTGAAAGATTTCATGTCACTAAGATGCCAGCCTGGTGTCTATTGAATATTGCATCAGATGACCTTTGTCATGTATTTATCAAAGCAAGTTCTATATAAAAATGCATTTTGTGAAAATCCTCTTTCAGACATTTGTAAAGGAAAACTTGATTATCGATAGGTTGTTGGCAGCTTAGTTTTTTTTAGTTAAACATGCTTTATATCTTTTTTGATATTTTACACTTACAGATTGTTGGCTTGTTTCCATGTGTCTCTTCGTATATAGTTCTTGAGCAATTTCCTGAAAAATACGCCGAGCACTCTTTTTCTATAAATACAAATAAGAAAAAAATGTATCTCTCTCAGGACTAAAAGCAATGATTATTGCACATCATCTGAGCCTTTTCTTTCTTTATTGCCACCAGTCTCAGAAACTACCCCGCCCAACACATCTATACCTACAGTTAACTCTTGTATTTTGAGTATAGTAGGTAGAATTTATGATTGAGAACTATCAATTTACCACATATGTTACCACTTGAGATTATCATTTTTCTCAACAATAGGAAACAGTATCTGTGGTTGCAAGTTGTTTTTTGATGATGTTCTGAGTTTCTTAAATTATTTTGGATTTGAAGTAGTTACAACCACATCGAAAGATATTTTACAAGCATTGGTCTGTACCTTTTGTGAATCTTCTGTTTCTTTCTTTCTTAGAGTGTTAGATTTTGACTGTCAAGAAGAAAAGGAGAGTCTTATAAGACACTTTATGTACTCAAAACAGTTGTGGCAGAGATCTCATACCATAATAAGGTTAAACTAGCTTAATATAACTTAATATTTAAATGGTAATGCAGTAAGAGTTAATAATTTTCATGTCATTTCTGAGATGCCTTATTAATAAAATAGCTCAAACTGATTGTAGGATTTATAGTAATCCTAACAGAACATATACACACCCCCTCTTGTAGCATGTGAATAACCAGAAGATAGTCTTTCTCAAAATCTTTAGGCCTTTTAAAGATATTTAAAGGCAGTTTCTAATCTCTTTTAACTTTCTTTTTGCTCTTAAAGATTGTTCTTAGCCCTTTCATACCTCCCCCAACCAGCGGAAAGTAGCATGTGTATGATGGTTATAAAGAAGGGTCTATTATTCCCATATTACTGGGTTTTAAAAAGAAAACCCTGTAAATTGTGTACTCTGGTTAATAATTTCAGTGATGAAAATTTTTGCTTTCTTCTACAGACCTCTTCTGCAGGTGGTATTTCCTGCAAATGCAAAGGAAGATATTAATTAGATGAGCTATTTCTGAGGCTCCCAACATGTGGAGAGACGGAAATTATTTCCTTATGATAATATTCAAGGCCATAGGGACATCTAATGCAAGAAATTGACTTACTTTGGTGAGGACGATGAAGTACACGCATCCACCAGTAACGTAGATAGAGAGCAGTGATAAGAGGGCCGTCAGGAGACTCTGCAGTTCCTTGCTAAGAGCCTTCGTGTCTTTGTTAATTACAGATACAGAAAGAACCACAGTCACTATTGAAGCATATTATTGCAAATATATGTATAACGTATAATTGAAACTACATGTTAGAGGTGAAACATGAACTTATTCTATTTGGCTATTCATATAAAAATTTATTCAGGGTCTCTTGATTCAGAAAGTACTCAAGTATATGATATAGTTAAAGCCAGTTCATTAGTTCTTTAAATGTATTATGCCCAACCTGTTATTCATGTTTAAAACTGAAAATTTAAAAAAATTCAATTAATTACTTGTCATAATGCTAAGAACCACTTTTTATATAAAGTTTTGCTTAAAGTTAGATAAACATTAAGGGTTTGTTCAAGGGTGTTTAAAGTTTCTTTTAGTAGATATGATGTACAAGTGTCACCAAGAGTCTGTTTATGGAGTTAAGATACTTTCCCATGCGTCTTTATAACCTTGAACTGTTTGGTACACATAGCTGAACAGTGCAGTTCTCTAAGAACCTGAGAAGGCCGTACATTGAGATTTTAGTGCTCACTGCATGCTTAAAAGACAGGCATTGTTATATGTGCCCCTTATTTCTAATAAAGTTCTGGAAGTGGAATTATTGAATCCGTTTGCTCATTCTGAATTTCTCCCTCCTTGCAGGAAGTGTCCTGTGCCCTAGGTAGTGACGAAGTAACACACCATGTCTTCAAGTACCTGAGTATTTGAAATACAAAATCCATTTAGATTTATAATTGTTATCTGAATAACTTGTACTTTTCAACTAAATATCCCATAGATGCTTATCGTGTGAACTCAGTTTATACAACATACTTTTTTCTTGTGAAACTAACAAATCAACCATATCTGTAAAACTTAAAAAGTTTCAAGTGTGAAATTAGGAGCTCTGTAGAAAAGGAAATTGCCATGTCTATCTTAGTGGTACTTTCATTCCTGTTCCTCAAGAAGAATGTTTCTTCACATAAGCTTGTAGGTTTGAAACCTTCATCTCTTTACAAACCATTTTTCTTTTGTCTAATATTTTTTATAGAAGACAGATGCATGCAGTGAGATATACAGATCTCCAAAGCTGTTGTGTGTTTGTTTTAATACCTATAGCTAATATTTATTGAGCACTTGCTATGAACCAGGCACCATTAAAAGTGCTTTATGTGCATTAATGCATTTATAATTTACCTTACAGGTGAGAATAAACTAAGGTTAAATGACAGTGGGATATCAGAAGGCCATTAGAGCACCAAAGCAGGGGTTAAAATACAGGACCATCTGGGCTCCTCAAAGTCCTGTTTTAAAACCAAAAAGCTGGTTAATTTGAGTTTACGTTTTAATGATCTCAGTGCTCATCATACCAGAGTTTCTTTCTTTTTTTTTTTTTTTAAAGAAGATGTTGGGGGGTAGGAGTTTATTAATTAATTTTATTATTTATTTTTGCTGTGTTGGGTCTTCGTTTCTGTGCGAGGGTTTTCTCTAGTTTTGACAAGCAGGGGCCACTCTTCAACGCGGTGCGTGGGCCTCTCACTATCGCGGCCTCTCTTGTTGCGGAGCACAGGCTCCAGACGCGCAGGCTCAGTAGTTGTGGCTCACGGGCTTAGTTGCTCCGCGGCATGTGGGATCCTCCCAGACCAGGGCTCGAACCCGTGTCCCCTGCATTAGCAGGCAGATTCTCAACCACGGCGCCACCAGGGAAGCCCATACCAGAGTTTCTTTAAAGGCGAGAGGTCTGAAAAAAAGCACGGAGTTGCTGCCCTTCTTTTCCTTCCCCCAGAATCACGTGAAGCTTTTCCTCTGAAATTTCTTAATTTATAGAACTTAGCTAGGCTCCGTGTCCTCACTTGCGTGAGGAAATTGTCATGGATTTTAGTAAATCTCAAGAAGCCAGGGCCACACCGATCTTTTTTCTGTTCATTATCTATGCAGAAGGGGTAGGGTCGGGGATCCCCCAGTGGCTTCACCTAAGATTTGTGTTTATTCTCCATGATGCTTTTTTTTTCTGGGTCCAATTTATTGATCGCTTACGCTTCTCCAGTGTTTTGTTCTAGATGGTGCAATACCAGACTAGATACTGACAAGGCTGTCAGTTAATCATCACATTTCAATCAGTGTAACATACAAAAGGAGGACATAGTTGGTCAGCCTTTGCCAGTAAAGTCTGGACATGGAAAGAGAATATAGCACCCACATAGCCCTGACTCTGTGTCTGCGGAGGCTGGGAGATGGTGTCAGAGGAGTTCTTGAACCCAGACTTCATGTTAGCTTGTGTGCAGGTCACACTCTTCACTGGCTCGGGTACTAAGTTATCAAATTTACCTCATAATCTCTGCATATAAGTATTGTGATGCATTTCGGGGGCAGAGCAGAACGCAGTGTTCAGGAATAAAGACTTGACTAACCTCTTACCACCAGCACAGTGCCTCCTCCCGTCCGCTTAGCTCTCGGTTCCTTTGAACTGGGAAAGGCTATTCCACAGATGTAGATTGCACTGTCATTGAAAGCCAGCCTGTTTACAGTGAGGGAAACTTGGTTTTGTGCCAGATTCACAAGTGTGAATTTGTCTGTCTCATCTCTGCATCCATCCAAGCACAGGTTCTCGGGCTGGTGAGCGCCATAGCGAAACCACAGGCTTGTTGGTTGCTCTGCAGGGCACCCCGCTGTGGAGAAAGAATACCAGAGTTTCTTTAAAGGCGAGAGGTCTGAAAAAAAGCACGGAGTTGCTGCCCTTCTTTTCCTTCCCCCAGAATCACGTGAAGCTTTTCCTCTGAAATTTCTTAATTTATAGAACTTAGCTAGGCTCCGTGTCCTCACTTGCGTGAGGAAATTGTCATGGATTTTAGTAAATCTCAAGAAGCCAGGGCCACACCGATCTTTTTTCTGTTCATTATCTATGCAGAAGGGGTAGGGTCGGGGATCCCCCAGTGGCTTCACCTAAGATTTGTGTTTATTCTCCATGATGCTTTTTTTTTCTGGGTCCAATTTATTGATCGCTTACGCTTCTCCAGTGTTTTGTTCTAGATGGTGCAATACCAGACTAGATACTGACAAGGCTGTCAGTTAATCATCACATTTCAATCAGTGTAACATACAAAAGGAGGACATAGTTGGTCAGCCTTTGCCAGTAAAGTCTGGACATGGAAAGAGAATATAGCACCCACATAGCCCTGACTCTGTGTCTGCGGAGGCTGGGAGATGGTGTCAGAGGAGTTCTTGAACCCAGACTTCATGTTAGCTTGTGTGCAGGTCACACTCTTCACTGGCTCGGGTACTAAGTTATCAAATTTACCTCATAATCTCTGCATATAAGTATTGTGATGCATTTCGGGGGCAGAGCAGAACGCAGTGTTCAGGAATAAAGACTTGACTAACCTCTTACCACCAGCACAGTGCCTCCTCCCGTCCGCTTAGCTCTCGGTTCCTTTGAACTGGGAAAGGCTATTCCACAGATGTAGATTGCACTGTCATTGAAAGCCAGCCTGTTTACAGTGAGGGAAACTTGGTTTTGTGCCAGATTCACAAGTGTGAATTTGTCTGTCTCATCTCTGCATCCATCCAAGCACAGGTTCTCGGGCTGGTGAGCGCCATAGCGAAACCACAGGCTTGTTGGTTGCTCTGCAGGGCACCCCGCTGTGGAGAAAGAGCACTGCATGGTCACAGCCTTTTGAGTGTAGTCCACTTCAAGGGAAGGTGGTTGAACCACCGAGACGGTACAGTTGCCCACGGCACCTGCAGGAGGAAGCAGGTGAGGCTGTTTAGTGGGCCTCTCACCTCCCTTTGTGCTTCCGTTTTATTGACATTTTGGGGTGAAGAATCGTTGAAAGCCATTGCTTTCTTTTTCTTCCCTCACTCGCAGCACAGACAAGACTGTAAAAGTAGACACTGGTGCCAATATTTTATAATAACTATAAATGGGGTATAACCTTTAAAAATTGTGAGGTTGTACACCTGTAACTTACATAACATTGTACATCAAGTTTACTTCAATTAAAAAAATTTGAGACTTAAAAAAAAAAGTAGACACTGGTATTCCTCACTTTTCCTAACTCTCCGAGTTTCCTAACCTCAGCCTGCTGTTGTGCAGTGATGTCTGGTACTTGAGGGCAGCCCCAGAGAGGTCCTGGGAATCTGCATTATCATGAGCGGAGGTGACAGCAGATCCAGAGTCAGAAGTTCGGGGTCCACATGTACACTTGTGGTGTACGTACAAGCTCTCCTCTGACCTCCCTATGCAGATCACTTACTCTCTCAGGGCCCGTTTCCTCATCCGTACCCCCTGGCCTCACAGGAGTGTTGTATTCAATGTGGTAATAGGTATCAAAGCCCTTCATGCAAATGTCACGCCCACTGATTGAGCACATGGGCAGTAGGGATTTGGGGGGGGGGCCTTGTGGCAGTTGTGATTACTAGGAATTCATGACAATTTACAATTGTTCTTTTATGAGTCTAGTTGTCCCAGTGGGAAACATTATAAAAGGCAAGATGTACATCTGGGAAAATGTAGCCCTGGCTTAGCCTACAGTGTCTTTGATTACTGAGCAGAGGCCTAATGAGCTGGCTGTGCCACAGCCCAGCAAGTTGGATTTCTTCCTGGCACTTGTACATTGCTTTGTAGTCTCTTGTAGCTTTCATCTATTTGATGAGAGTGTAGCTCGTGGAGCACACACTTTAGTTCGGATCCTAGCTCTGCCAGTTCCTAGTTCTCTGGTCTGTTTCCTCATTGGCAAAATGGGGATAGTACTGTGCACCTCATGAGTTTAGCGGGAGGTTTAAGTGAGGCCATGTATGCATAAGGAGTATTTACTTACCTAAGTCTTAGTAAGTATTTAATAAAAGGTAGCTATTTCTGCTGCCACCATTATTCCATTAATGGGCAGTGTCATATGCCCATTTTAGAGATAATTGTGGACATCTCAGCAATGTGTTAGCAGGGCCGGGATTAGATATCCAGTCCAGTGTTCTCTCCACTACGTCCTGCTGCTTTCATGTCATAGAGGTTGGGTCCCTACTTTGGCCTTTTATCTAATCCCAGGCATGTGAAGCTGGAAAGCGGCTCAGGTGTTTATAAATGGGAAGACCTCCCCTCAGCCCTTTTGGGATCAAGGGGGAGGCTCTATGTGAAGCAGTATTGGTTGAGACAAATTGGAATTTTTGCATGTTTTTAGTCTGACTTTGTTATATGTTTCCATGTGGTTATTTGTCTGACTTTGTGCTTTGCTACTGTAAACGAAATTGAAAAGTAATCCAAGTGGTCTGATGGAAGTTTCAGACGAGCTTTTTGTCACCTAACATTTTTGTTATAGGTCCTGACCCAGAACAGAAGAATTAAAACTAGAATCATGGTATCTGTGATGCAGATCTGTTCTCACCCTGTTTTAATTTTAGTATTTGTACAATTGAAGATGAGCTGGGAGCTTTTTAGCAGCCTGATAAATGTAAACCAGATGAGAGGGTAAAGTCACGTGGAGAAGACCAGCCTTCCTACTTCTTCAGCCGAGGGACTTAGCTTCACTCCTAAGTCTGATAACTGTAAGCACAGGTCTCCTACCCAGACTCAGTCACCTTAGAAGTAAAGAAACGCTTTACGAGGTATAGTGATCATTATGTATGGAAACTTGAAATGGAAGTGGGCCTACCAAGCCACAAAGTTAACCAGCAGTGTCCCAGTGTCAGGTCCTCTGTCACATAGAGTTTTTAACAGGGAAGCTGCCTTTTAACATTTTTCTTGGAGAGCTAGTGCTCCAGGGTAAAATAAATATTTGCAGCTTTGGAGTTTCGTATCTCTGCTCATTTCTGACTACTGCCTGAGAAGGGAGAAAACCAGTTGCAGTGGTTTCCTGTGAGAGCGCAGACTGTGAGGACACTGCTGCCCCCTCCCCCACGCCGTGAAGCAACATCTTAGTGAAAAAAGGGAAGTTTGGATGATATGTCACACCGCAGCCCCACTCCTTGAAAAATTTCTCTTTAACAACTCCCACATTCTGTAGGATTTTTTTTTTAAATACAGTACCCTCTGAAAAGGTTGAAAGTTTATCTTCTTAGTGGAGGGGGAAAAAAAAGATTACTATTTTTGAAGACCAAGCTAGAAAATACATAGAAAATTAATTTTTTGACACTTTCTAAAAAAAGCCTTTTTGGAAAATTTCGAACATATGCAGAAGTAGTCGACCAGCACAGTAACTTCAGTGCCATCACCTGACTTCAGCCCAGTGTTGTTTCACCTCTTCTCCCTGCTTGCTCCTTCACTCCTGTGTTATTTTAGGGCAAATTCCAGATATTTTATCTGCACATCTTTCAAAATATATCTTTAAAAGATAAGAATTCTTCTTTAAAATAATACTAGTTAAAATATATTAAAAGTAATATATACGTATTAGGGGAAAAAAGACTATAACTGAAAGTAGAAGCAAAAAAATCACCCATAGTCCTTTCGTCGCCCCCACCAAAATCACTGCTAGCATTTTAATATATTTCTTGACAGATGAGAAAAAAATAATTTTAAGAGCTTTTGCTCCGTTTCCTACCCTATGACCCAAACTTTGTGGGCAAATCTGAGAGTATTAGATTTATTAGAACTATGGTGAGATTATAAGAACTGTGATGTAGGAAACTCTTGCATAGAGAAAAAAACAGGTGTTAGGCATCCATATATTATGAGATGACGATTCTTCAAGGAAGGAGCCATTGCAGTTGTTTTTTTAAATGACAAGTACTTTAATTTACAGAAATTCAGCTTTTCTGAAGCACTGTTCTTTAAAAATATTCTAGTATTGTTTAGTGCAGAGTGAGTTCACCTGTATGGGAACTGAATTGTTGATTACTAACATGTGATTTTATGAATATTTTCAACCCTTTGTTTGGTGAGGTGCTCTTCTCTAAAGCTGCATAAGAGCAAAGGAAATTTTCAGTGTTAATATGAAATTTTTTCTCAGCTATTCTTTTATTACCTGTTTCTCTGAGAAAAAAAAATTTATCACCTTAGACAATTTCCATAATGTTATATATACATTTAAAAATTAATCTGTAGGGGCTTAAAATATAAATATTTTATATTATAAAATATAATATAAAAATATAAATTAATCTGTAGGGGCTTAAAATAAAATGAATTAGGCGAAAAGTAGCAATTGATTTAAATAAAATGGAGGGAAAAATAAAAGAACCTTACCGACATGAAACAGAATCAGATTGAGTTCCAGACCGAGGATGATTTTGCCTCTGTTCACAGTCTCCATTTCTGTGTGTATGTGTGACGTGGTTGGTGGGATTGTGCATTTGAAGAGAGTTGGCTTTTTTTTTTTTTTTTTTTTTTTAAAAAAAGGAAAAACCAAAGAG